GAAGCTTTAGTCATTTTTAGATTTCCTGACAAGCAAATTCCATAACTGACAACTGCAAAGATCCTTGGAACAGCCACATACTTTGTTTGAGTGGAAAAGTTCATTGAGAAAAGTATCATCTCTTAACAGTCGCTACTGTTGCCTATAATTTAGATAGATCTTTTTACTCTTTAACAGCTAGTATCCTCTTATATCAAAGTAAATTGCTTATTAAAGTTTTATGAAAAAAACGGGGGGAAAAATAGGAGCTTCCAGTAGCTTTACCAAAGAAATAAAATATGGCCTCAAATTTAAGATTTGAAGGATGATGAAAAAATGATCCAGGAAAACACAACTAAAAGCTTACAGATACACTAAAGACTTCACACTCTCAAAAAAACTATTTAGAAAGCTGAATAACCTTACAAAAAGGTTGAATAACCTCACTACAACTGTAGCAAAAACCTAATTTCAGCTTTAAAAAATAGTATTGATACTTTATTAATTTTAAATATATCCATTTATCAATTTGACCAAGTTATTGCCTATCATGTAGCTGCAGTGGTAGATAAAATTTAAAATAATATTTCCATCTCAAGGAGCATGCAATATAGTTGGAGGCTTTTATCAGCGTTTCATTAAAAAAACAAGTTCATCCCTCTTTAAAAGTTAAAGACTAGGGGAAAAATATATTTGAAATGTTCTCTCAAAATTATGCAAAATCCATAAACCTCTCTAAAACGTGATACTGAATTACAAACTTTCCACTTTTCACACACAAAAAAATTATTAAAGCAAGTTATTTGATTTTTTTATCCTTCAAGTATAAAGTACATTTAAATATTACTAACTATAAGTTACATGAAAAAGCAGCTGAAAATCTCACATACAATAGGTTACATATAACTATCATTTTAAAATTATAAAACAAATGAATTATAAAGACTTCATGCTTCTGAGATTTATTTCTATATTCTCATCATGAATGATATCAAGGCAGAGGTTCATTCCATTTTCATTTATTTTACAGAATATTACACAGTATAAGAATTCTGTAAGTTTTGCGATAGTTTAAATCCAATTGAGTCATGCTACTGATGTTGATTTTAATCTTAAAATTATAACTACTTTTATCTTATGCCCCAATTTTAATTCTCTTCAGAGACATGTGATGTTAATTAAAATTTACATACATTACTTTTACAATGTTTTTCTTATCAATCCATACTACACACATCACAAATCAGAAAAACCTTTGAAACATCATTGGTCATTTCAATAAATGCACATTTTCTGCTATATTTTTAAGAGTTTTAAGAAACTACTGATAACTGAATTGCATGCTACTTATGATGAATTCCTGTGAACACTGAAAGTCCTGCTGTATACATGTTATGCAATATTATTATCCAATTCCCTTCCTATCTCAAACCTCATTCCACAAAACTGGGATACCTTAACTGTGTAAGATTAATGATAATTCATCTTTCAATTATAAGGTGCTTCCATTTAAAGTCAGCTATTATTCAAATATATGACACACACACCCCTTACAATACTGGTAAGAATTTTAACTCCTTTTACTTATGAAGAAAATGAATCTGGTAGGTTCCATGACTTGCCCAAGGTCAACAACTACCCAGTGGCAGTCTAGGTGCAATCCCAGATTTACCTACCTGAAAGCCAATACTCCACTAGACCACAATTATCCCCTTAAAAGATTAAGAGACAGGCTCAAAAGCAGACTATCTTGTCTCTGAACACATCTACTCCAAGACATCTATCACAGTACCTACAATTCACTCACCGATTGAAATATAAATGAAGAGGATCTTTCTGCTTCATTTAAACTAGGGCAGGCTTACTGGCAGGTAAAAAAGAGGTTAGAAAAGGCTAGCCTCAACATGTCTCCCATAGACCTCTATATCTCTATACGGTTCCCCTAGTCTATTTTTTATAACACGCATATCTATCTACCAAACAAGACTATGCCAGACTAGCCTATAGTTTGGTGCTTTTCAGAACTGCACTTTCCTAAGATAATTTACACCAGATTTAATATCGAACTGGGCGACTTTGTTGAGAAAGCCATTCTGGCACTTCTCAAACATCTGAAGTATCATTTAGAGACAACAAACCCAGTTCCACCCTCTTTCTCTTACGCTGTGATGCCTGCCCACTTCGGGGGTACAGCTCCTGTAGGACGCTGGGGCCAGAGCAGTAAAGGAAGAAGTGGGGGAAGCGCACGGAAGTTGGGTGGAGGGAGGTCTCTTTACCCCTTCTGTCCTGGCTCTGCCAAGGGCGGCTCCCCACGGTGCCCAGCCGACTCACAACCCCCACAATCCGGCTCTGTCCCAGCGGGATGGGCAAGGCAAACAGGCAATGGAAGCACTGGATTGCCCCCAAACACCCCGCAGAGGTCCATGCTCTCCTTTTGGCCCGGGAGGATGCTCCCCCTTTCAGAGCGAGCCCTCCAGGTGGCAAAGTCCCCGTCCACACCGGCCGAAGTCTTCTGCATCCGAGGGGGCGACTCCCGCAACCTTCACCCTGCTACCCGAAACTCTCCGCCCGCGGTGTCCCTTAGCCCCTCCACTCCACCCCCGCAACCCTCCATAGATACACACGCCGGCCTACGCCCCACCCAGGATCTCGGCGTCCCCCTCCCCGACCGGGCGAAGGGCCCCCCACCAGCCCCTACAGACACACACACACACCCTCTGGCTCCAGCCTCCCGGACCCCGTCGAAGCCGGAGCGAGTACCTGGTCTGGCCGTGCTCCCGAGCTCAGAAGGGGCGGGCGCGGTCCCCTCCCAGAGGCGCCCCGCGCTTCTCTACCCACCCGCAAAGGAGGCTTCTCTCTTTCCCAGGCACGGGAGGGAGGAGAGGTGTGGGAGGGGAGGGGGAAGGCGAGGAGCCGAGGGGCGGCAGGCGCCGAACCGGAACCACTAGCGCTAGCCCCACCCTCGGCCTGTGCGGAGTACCGGGCGCTCTGGATAGGACAAAGTTAAAGCAAGCTGCGAGCGGACACCACCACTTCCGGGTCACCCCCACTACTGCCACTCCTTAGCAACCGCGTGGGGTTGCTAAGCGGAAGTGCCTTCAAAGACAACCACCCCCATTTCTTCTGGGACTATCGGGAGGTTGTGGGGAGTGTGTGCTACTTTTCTGCTCTTGGTCTTAGGCCAAGCACACGCTTTGCAGCCAGCCAGTTGAAAAGCTCATCCTGCTTGTCCCCTCAGCTGTACTGCCCATCTGCCTCCAACCACTATATACACCTTCTCCCTCCCGCCCTGAGTCTCAGGCCCACCCTTTGGCTCCACCTAAGTCCCTCTCTGGTCCCTCGTGAGAGTTATTTTCTGTCGGTTTAGCAAGCATCTCCCTCTTGTGGATTTTCAGTTGTGTTTCAACTGGGCTTTAAAAATATCAATGTTAAATAATTGTTCTGTTAACTGAATACCACTCTGTAATTGCAAAAAATAAAAATGCAGCTGTTTTGTTGACATTCTGAATGCTTCTAAATAAATATGATTTTTTTAATTAAAAAAATAATAAAATAGGTCCCGCGGGGTGGCGCGTTGGTTAGGAGTTGGCTAGGGACGCCAGCTCAGAGAGGCAGGACCCTGGTTCCTTTCCCACATGAGGGTCAGTGATGCTGTGCCCTCTACAGCTAAGATGGTGAACAACAGCTAGACCTGGAGCTGGGCTACCTTTACCAGTGATGGCGTAGGCTGCAGTGGGGTTGGCCGGCAGCTGGCTTGTGCTTTCCTGATCTGCCATGAACCGCTGTGAGCAGCCATCCAATGGCTGTCAAGCAACTGCCTCACCCAGGAAGAGCACAATGATAATACCAACATGGGCCAGTGAAGCGACATCCTTCACAACTAGACTGAAGAACAAAAGGACAGCAACTTGTCTGTTCCCCTCCCCCAATAAAATCTTTTACAAAAAATAATAAAAATATTCAATGTTATGAAAACTTTTTCATGCACTTCATTCTCCTTTGACAGCCCCTAACACAGAATGGTGAGAAAAGTTTTGTCTTCACCTATCTTTTTGTAAGGATTGGACATGTTTGTATATGACCTGGAAATAACCTAGTTAAGTGGAAGGGGAAAATAAAGATTCACTATAAATTGAGTAGAGTGATTTTAATCCTTAAAAGAAAAAGCAATGAGAAAAGGCCAAAGGAAGCCCATAATCAAGCTTGGAGAGGAAGAAATTTAATCCTCCGTTCAGAAAAAAAAAAACTTTCATGCTTCCACTGTGGACAAGAAAAACCTCATTTACTGAATCAGGGTGATCTAGGCTTTGAAAATATTGGAAAAACTGGTTGGGGTAAAAGCCAGCAATATAACTAATCCTCTTTAGAAAAATCACCCATATCATTATGGCACTTCAATATTCAGAGAAATGTAGTTGGGCGTTCAGAGAAAAATGAGTAAAAAAATCTTGCCTTGAAAGCTTAAGAGTAGCTCCTAAATTTGTTCTTTACCTATGGAAGTGAATATACTTGCAACTGCTGGCTCTAATTTTATTGGTTACAATAACCTCTTAGTCACCAATATTGGACTGTTGTTCACCTCTGCTGGTGCAGAGGGAATGAGCCTTAGTAACTTAAAACAGCAGATCTGTTGGTTTCCTGTACACACGGGACAGCATTAAGTTGATTTACCCTAGTCAGTTCAGCAAAACCTTTAGGAAATCACTTCAGATTCAAATGTCAGTAGTAAGTTATTTAATAAGTTTAAAACATTTCAAGCCCTTCTCATGGACACGCATACATGTGGAAATATATATATATATATA